TGTACCGGATCCCGTTCCGGTTTTTAACTCGGTTTTGTCCTGTCTCGTTTGGATTACCCGGTTTTTGGACTTTTGGACTTCGCCCCGGATTTCCCCCTGGACTCCTTGGACTTGTTCGCCCTGGCCACGCCCCTCCCCGAGCACCAGTTCACCATCGCCACGCCCCCTGTCTGTCAACCCCTCCAGATCCTCGTCGTCCCCTCCCCGTCCTTTTCCACTTACTTCCAGATTATACCGTCTGCATAGGGTCCTGAACTCCACTTCACAGGAGCTCGGACTGGCTCCCATTTGAGATAAAGGCACGAGGGGAGTCCAGGCTGCGATGCAGTTTGCTATATATGTGCTCTCTTCCCCTGACAATTGCTGATCCTGGTCCTGCATGTTTGTGCTGTTAGAGGAGGGTCTTTGGGTGTGGCCCCTCACCCTGGAGCTGTGTGGGAGGTACTGTATGAGGCATGCTGTTGTGGGTGGGAGTCAGGTCTCACCACTAGGCTGTGTCCTGCTGCCTGGCAGGGCTGTGAGCCAAAACGGGCCATTCTAATAAAGGTGGGAATTCCACCTCCTGCTTCTTCTGGAGTTTAATATGCTGGACCTCCGTTAACATGAATAACCAACAACAAATGACACTTGTTTTCTGGCTTTCTGACCTGACGATCCAGGTTACCTGAGCTGAGAAAGCCTACATTACAAGGAGCAGAGGCCTGGAGCAGAAAAGACTCTGAAGCTTGACAGGAGAGTTCATGAGTGTCACTGTGGCCTTCTGCTATGAGTGCAACACCTGTCTCTTTAAATAAAAAGCCCTGTCACTGCTAGCGCACATGCGCTGGGCTCAGTCTAGAGATGAGGTCAAAGGGGCCTGCCGACAGAGCACTCCAGTACAAACATCGCATAGCAAATAGGCACTGTTTACAAACTTGCGCTGCAAGCAGCTGAGTACTAGTGATGATATCTCTGTCCGAGAGGGAGGTTTGGAGGGAGAGCCCCGATACTCAGGCAGCAGGACAACAGGGCCGAACCAGGATCATGATCCGGGGGGATGAGATAGATAAGGGAGACACGTTCTTTCCACCTGAGTCCTCTCCTGAGTCTGTTTTACAGGACTGTGAGCAGCACAGATCAGTACTTTCACATATGTGCTAGAGACACAGATAAACCTACTTAAATATGGAAATTTCTTGCATATTACTTATGTAATGGTAGCGCAGTGGTTAACACTGCTGTCTTGCAGCGCTAAGGCCTTGCGATGAATTCCCAGGGAGCTATCTGTGTGGAGTCTATATGTTCTCCCCATGTTTAAGTGGGTTTCCTCCAGGTACTCCAGTTTCTTCCCACATTCCACAAGTGATAAGTTAATCGGCTTCTGGGAAAATTGGTCCTGGTGTGTGTGTTTGTGTCTGTATAAGATCACTTTATTGGCCATGTACAATTTCTTGTATTAGGAATTTGTCTTTTTCACAGACCCCACCTTGTTCTCCATGAGACCCACAGACAGGGAGAGAAGCTGGGGGTCAGAGTGCAGGGTCGGCCATTTATACGGCGCCTCTGGAGCAGTTGTGGTTAAGGGCCTTGCTCAGGGGCCCAACGGAGTAGGATTCCTCTGCCGGCCGCGGGAAACGAACCGGCAACCTTCCAGCCACAGGCGCAGATCCTGAGCCCCAGAACCACACTGCCTTGCCTTGCCCTGCCAGGATAGGCTACAGCTGCCCTGCAAACCCTTTATTTAATAAACAGCTAAAATAGATGGATGGATTCTTATGCCATAAGTGGCTTAACTAAACACCCAGAGTGTTGGTGTATCGATAATATAGAAACAGAGACAGATACAGGGTCCAAAACAGTGGAATGTGGGTTTTAAAGTCATGATTCAGGAATAGATGTATTTATTAATAGGTTATATGGCTCGAGTAATCGTTCTTACCACTGACTGCAAGACTGGCACATTTTCTAAAGATAGATAGAAAGTAAAAGAGATTAGAGCAGTGATAATACACAGTGAGAGGAGAGATAAAGCCTGGTTTGCTGCCACTTTCAAAGAGAGTGAAACAGGAAGGCAGGCACAGATTATGTTTTATGTACGTTTCTATTTTTAGGACAATTAGTAAAAGCCCCCAAAGTTTCCCACTGTGAGTCGACACACCAGGCCCGCCCACCACGTCTTTTGGATCACATGGTTCTCTGTCTCTCTTCCTCTCAGCTTCTTCCTCTTGGCCACAGCTCTTCATTTTCCATGCCCAGAAAACTGCCACATGTCCTCCACTCTGTTCGAGCTCAGCGATGCACCTCTGATGTCATGTGGCCAATGTCACCTGACATCCCAGCAAGGCTGGTTCTCAAGTGGTAAAAAGACAAAACAAAAACCAAGAGGTGATAGTAAAACCCAGGCAGATCCCTCCTCTCTGCTATAAAATACTATCCTGATTGAAATGTCACTTTCTGCATCATCTATAGTTTTATCAGTTGCTGTAAAACACCAGAATGTAATAAGAAAACACTACAAATAGTTGAAAACAGAACACAGATCAGAGTCTAAGATGGTCAATAAAAATATTCAGTTAGAATTAGTCCATCTATAATAAATGGCTTAGTAAGGATATTTGAATTTGTGTGATTTGAAAACATGGCAAACATGTGCTTAATATACCTAGAGAGTGGGTTTTAAACTTGTAGGGTACATAAACAGGTACAGTTTCCCCTTGTATGTAGTTTGTCCTTGGAACAAGAAAAAAATTGTCTTCGACAGAGCATGCAAGATCTTCAGTGATATATACTGACTGAGAAAATAGGTGGGCCCAGGTCATTTAGTGCTTTATGCATCGTCATCAAAATCTTGTAATCAATATTTACCTGGTAGCCAATACAGTGATGCCAGGAGTGGCGATACACAGTATGATTATGTTCTAAGAACAATATAATTTTCACACTGGTGGGTCAATGTCTTTAAAAGAACTGTCATAATACCAAAGGTCATTTTTATTTTATATAGAGATACACAAATGAAACACTGGTCTGAACAGAAAGAGGCCTGCAGCTCCGAGGGAGGAAAATAAATGTGCAATAGATGTGCAATCGGTGATACTATCACAACCGACATTAAAAACATATCCACATCGAGACTCGGGCCACCTCCTCCTCCTGCAAAAAACTACCGGCAGCTCTAAAGCCTTCTGGAACTCAAAGAGCTTTTCAGCAGCGCTTAACAGATCTGTCCAGCTATTGCACTGGGACACCTTCAAATCAAGACGGAAAGCACTAATCTGAAACCCGCACCAGGCGCTCTGTTTTCTGTTTGTTTTACAGTTGTAGTCACATCCTCTTTCAGTTCCTGTGCTCCACTGGCACTCTCACCTGCCTGCAGCTGGCTCTGTAGGGCTGCTTACAGTATCGGAGCTGCAGTATCGCAGCATGAGGAACAGAGACCCCCCTTGTACAGAATTGTATAAAAATCACTGTACAGCAGGAAACAAAATAGTTGTCTGTTACACGGTAATTTCAGTTTTAGCTGGTCCAGCATGAAGACAGTCATTATGACACCCATGATTATTGCAGCTATTACTGGTGCTATTATAATAAATAAGAAGAGGTGCTATTTTCTCGTGCTGGGACGCAGGGGATAGAAAAGACCAAGACCAAGATGTGAGCTTCAGTACTCTGGATCGAAATGAAATATATCTCTGGGAGGCCCCATTCCTGTATTAAAACAGTATTCGGCCTGTCAGAGGTAAGTTCCTGGTGCTTCAGTCACCTGCAGTTAAAGGTTGAATTTCATTCCCCGAAGGCTGTAGCTGAGCTGCCTCTGGAACCCCTTGCTTACAGGGATGTTTCGAGAGCCCGAGATGAATGTCTTGTGAAGATGTCTGCCGTGCAGTTCAGGTCTCCTCTCCACTCAGAGAGGCAGCGCCAGCAGCCCCGCGCCAGACACTGCTCAGCGATGTGGCGTCTCTGCCCAGCCCAGGAAGAGACCCCGCCGCCACACGGTGCATTAAGCACAGATGAATGAGCGCATCCTAATCACATTAGTCTTTCAGGTAACAATATCCAGGGGGGGGGGGGCTTTTAAAGCCCAAGCCCAGCTGGGGATTTGATGGGAAGTTTCTGTTTTAAGACTGATTGACCCCTGACAGAATTAAAACCGCCACCCCCCTCTTACCAGAGCAGACGGAATTTGAACGGAAGTGTCATTTTTAAAACAAAGTAACCCACAACAGGACCCTTCAAAATGGTATTGTTGAGACGCTTTCGTTTCAGATCCACAGTATGAGAGGCAGAGTGTTTTTTTTTTTTCCATCGTTGCACCGCACACGCGCGGCTGTAGGGACACACTGGTATTGTGGGTTTCTGTGGTGTGGAGGAGACTGAGGCCCATCTTTCAACTTGGCATGCTTTGCTGCGGCGATATGAAAAATCAAGCAAATCCACGCTCTGCCCTGGACAGCACAGTTGTCTCCTGAGCAGGCTGCTTGATAGGGAAAATAGAAACTGATGTCAAACTGTAACGCAGAAACTGTGCTTGTGCTTAACACCAACAGCAACACTTCACAGAGCAATAGAGCCATTTCTCCTCCTACTGGCGGCAGTGAAAAGAAACACACAACGAAGTGATAACCCTCTGTGGGTGTGCGAAAGCGTGTCTGTGTGACACACAGAGAGGAGAGAGAGAGAGAGATCTGCCTCGCAGTATTGGCTGAGAGGAACATGTGTACTGCCTGATGTCACATCTCTTGCAGTTTCTATTCAGACACGGAGCAGTAGGAGAAGTGAGCTTCTACGAGGAGCTACTGAACTTCAGCGGCGGGCAACGCGGAGCTGTCTACATTTCCGACCCTCGGCGACAGCCGAAGAGAGGTAAGGCAGCATGAGAAGCTTCGAAGCTGAAACTTGCGATGTCTGGATTTCCTTCAGCCAGTCTGAGCAGGGCTGCGGAGATACTTTTCTGTAGAGTCATGCCTCTTGTGAGGTCCTCTGAGCTTCCTTCAGAATGAAGGAATGCTAGATATGTCTTGTGGGTGAGTGTGTGAGCTTGCGCAGGGTCATCTGGCTGAGACTGAGTCTGGTTTGTATCTGTGGTGGGAGCAGTCTGTGTCCCAGCTCTGGTGATAGTGTTAGCTGGTCCCTCCGATCCCTGTTCTCACAGCTCTGGATCAGCACTGTGGACAGTGTGGACGGACAGCCCTTCGCAGTAAGGCTAGGAGAGGGCAGTGGAACAGGATTAGAGAGAACTGGGTCTGAGCGTTGAGTTTCTCCCTCCGGAGTTCTGTCTAGAAACGTTAGATTTAGATAGGAGCCTCACGTGTGCATTACTGAGGCTCTCTGGAGATTAAAAACACAGCAGGTGCCAACTGCCAATATTTTTAAGCCCGTTGATCAAGGCTATGTTCTGCTTCAACATCTGTTAGATTTCAGAATTGGTTATTCTCATCTGTGTTCTTAAACAATGAGAATTGCTGGTTTTATAGTAACACCTACACGCAGGCACGTTACCCCGGTGGAGGTACAAGGGATGAGTCAGAGCTCAAGTAAAAATTTCCATTTAGAAGCCAGTCTTTTTTCAGCCAGTAGCCCATAAACCCAAAGGAAAAGAGCAACACAAATCTGCCGAATGTAATGCTTTTTTACTCCCGGAGCCAGTGGCTTGAAAATGCAAATCAGAAGGATAATAAAAGTCTGGTACTGAAACTAAAACCCTGGGTGAAGAATTTAATTAATAATTCAGGGGTTTCCCTGTAAAACCCAGCTCACTTCTGCCACCCACCTACTGTAGCTGAGCACAGAAGCACAATTGCACAGAAGGTCGTGCTAAAAGCACTGACAAAAGGCTCAGGTTATTTAAATAGGAAACCTTGAGATGGAGGGCTGTGTTGAAAGCTCTGACGCTCTGACAGTTCTGACGCTTCGCAAACATAAGCTCCGTCTTTTGTCCAAGATGTAATTCCCAGTTTCCCGGGATCAGGCCGGGATCTCTCTACCTTGGTGGGCCTGCTTTTCCTCTTTCAAGAAGAGAAGGGAATCCCCAGTGCCTCTTGTATTTCCGAGTGGGCCGGAGAAAAACTTTGAACACAACTTGACCTTCATCCCCCGCTCAGTTCCCTTAATCTCAAATCCCCAACCCCTCCCAAAAATGTAATCCCAAATTCTGCTGTTTCTTGGGATTTGAGATCAACGGGGAATGAATTCATCAGTGGAAGCAGCCAAGAAATCGCCTGCTCGCTCTCCCGACGAGCTGAAAGCTTTGTGAACCAAGAAGCAAGGATCAGACACGTTCAATATGTGCCATGACGCTGAGAGCACCAGATCTCACTTGGATTCATGTGACCGTAGGGCTAACGGCTCAGACAAAGGTTCACTTCCTTTCCGCTCGAAATGAAAACAAGGCTGGTGGATGAATGAAGAGGTGCCGTGGTGTGGCTGCTAATGTCTGCTATCGATGATCTTGAAGACTCGTAGTGGGGGCAGAAGGCACTCCAGGAGGTGCCCTGCTGCGGGCGGCCACCGCCCTTTCTAAACAAGTGCCAGTGGCCGGAGAAGAAGCAGCCAGGCACTCCTGCAGCTCGGGTCAGGCAGAGAGAGAGACAGACTGACAGGCAGCGTGGTGGCAAGGGCCTGTAAAAAAACCACAGTCAGGCAAAATGAAAGCCTGACTCGTGTTATGTTTCATCTGATGTTCCTCAAAAACAAAACAGCAAAAAAGTCTACAGATCAATTTTCAGGTCGATAGTCAGTTGACTGAAATCCAAAAAAGCCTGAAGCCTGGATGCAGATATTCTAAAAACTGAACCCAGTAATTAGGAGATCGCTCCTGCTGAAGTAACGGCATAAATTGACAATATACGAGCCTTTGAAAGATCACTTGAAACAAACCTTTCCTGTTTCTCAAACAGAGAAGTCACAAGAACCATGGGTGACTTTTGAATTTTCGATTCAAACACATAATCGGTGCAGCGGATTTGAAATTAAGGCGCTGCCAAAAGGCTCATAGGAAAGACAAAACATCATATAAGATTGTACTAGTAAGTCTCCTTATGAGGGACCGGAAATCTCAGGCTCTCAAGGAAACTGGTGCCCTGCACGACCCGCAGCTCCCAATTCAAGAGTCCAGCTCTGAGCGCGCTCAGAAGGGGACAGAGGTCATCAAGGTGCCCCCCTGGCCCAGTGCTGCCAAAAATGTGTAGTCTCTGGTCACTTCTCTCGTGAGCTTGACTGCTGACCTTGGACTTGAGGGCAATTTCATTTATATATGGACAGTGTTCTGCACTAGAATGTGACAAGGGAAATGACGTGTCTTACAGGTTTTCTTTGTCTTTCTGGGTAGTTCTTGCAGGTGTCCCCACTCTGCCATGTCATATCAGCAGGAAGGATTTAATGCCTATAGCTGTAAAGCTCTCTATATTGTCAGTCCGATGAAAAACCTCACATCAACAAAACCAAACTAAAAGTCTGTGTTTTTGGATGCAGTACACGGTAGTCCAGGTCCGTTTATACAGAATGCCAACACTGTGAAAGAGCCTGTGAGCGCAGCTGTGCACGTCTCTCATTCTCGATAGTTAAAAGTATGCCTTGTGTCTCATAATACCCATAAATCACAAACCCAAAACGATTTAGCAACAGTTCATGAGGTTTTTAGGTAAAAACAGCCAAATATTTATAATTTATTGTCATAGGGATGCCTAAAGAATACGTTATGCACTTCTGAATCCTGTCTGCCCAGCGAGGGTTGCCTAAATTAGGAACATATTGGTAAAAAAAACAAAGCCACACAGATAAGCTGGAATTGGTTCAAACTGAATTCTTCTGGCATGAAGGGAAAGTACACAATATATTGAGAAGCTATTACACATTTTTATTCTGCTGGAATAACAGGCTTTCATTTTTTCCCCAAGTGCAATCGATATTCACTGCTGTTGCCCTTCATGGCTCAGCTGCACCTGTGTTACTGTGTTTTAGTGCACTGTCTTTTACATTTTTAAAGCACCGTAAACCATGCTTTACACTGGATTAATGCTATATACCGTACATACTCCACTGTGGACAGGACACACTCTTGAGTTGCAAAAGATGCCAGAAATCTCATGTTTCCTGCTGTGCTTTATGTTCACTTTATAAGGGTGTTATATGGTATACAGGAATCGGGTGTTACAAGAGGCATATTGAAGAAAGCTGGCAAAGTTCAGAATGAGTTGAGGTATAGATGTGTCTGGTGGTGGACCTGTTGACCAGGATGGAGCAGGAGAGCCAGGTACAGAGAGTGCCCTACCACTTGTAAATATGCTCTCCCCCAAAAAAGAGTGAGGCCGTCTAATTTTCCCAGACCACTTCCACTCCATGAAGTATTAGGTCAAGCTCCCAGGTACTGCTGTGCTTGTGTATGCTCATTATTGTGCTTAGTGCTTTGTCACATTCTATATATTTTATCTCTGCCATTATACTACTCCAGTTTTGCAGGGCACTGAATCAAAGTAATCAAAATTGGACTTCATTCTCAAACCCAAACAGTCCAAATATCTCGTTGTCGTAAGCCTGTTGTCTGGGGCTGAAGGTAAAAGAAAAATTTGCAAAACAATATTTGCGCACTACTGAAATTTAACTTTATCTAAGATATACTGTCTAGATGAATATCCTGAGGTGCTTATCTGCCATGGACAGAGTGTTTCAGCATATCAAGAGAGTGACTAGCACAGCTATGGGAGATTTATCTGAATTTAGGTAACTATAAATATCCACATACATGACACTTTAAATGTACAGTAACTGCCACATGTCCCTTTTCAAGTCTTCTAACATACCCAATATTTCACTTTGCAGCGAAAAAAAATGTAGCACTTATGTCTTGCTTATCAAGGTGACAAGAGGCAAAACTGCACCTCTTGTGCAGAATATTAACACCTCTAGAAAAAGTTCAAGCCTGTATGCATGCATGAATCTACAACAAACAAATTTACAGTTTTTACTGCTGAGGGAAGAGGAAGTCCTGTTCAGACTTAAATTTATCTCAGTGTTTTTTTTAGCGAAACGAACTATTGCACAAAGGCAGTGAAAACGACAGAAAAAAAGATCCTTTTGTGCTTTTAGTCTGATCTTCAGAAGATTGTATGCTTGTGGTTAAGGTCTTGCTTAACTTGTCAATTAACAAGATTATCTAATGTCGAAACAAGAAGTAAATGTATACAGTAAATAAGACAGAAATGAGCAATTCTAATATAATATAAACAATGAAAGCAATGAACCATTCCAAGCATTTTCTCAAATGTACCCATATTAGTGAATAATGAGCGGTTTCAATGAATAAGCAGTTATCAAAACCTACAGTAACTTAATTTTTTTAATAAATGTAACTGTTTTGAACTTCTAACAGCATAACAACGATCCTAAGAAAAGCCTATTGTCTGGGGAAAAAAGATAAGTTTGCAATTCCATTTCCAGCTAATTCTGTTTTTTTTTTTTAAACAAGCAGGACTGTTTAGGAACAAGTTGCTGGCGGGCGAATTTACAGGTTGACTATCTCAAACAACGAGAGCTGCTTGGAACAGGACATGTCTCCCCTCCACGCAGGGGAATATCTACCTGCTTTTCTTTCTCTCTTTTGTGTGTGAGTGTGTGGGGCTGCTGTTGTTCTAGATACAGCAGTTGATTTTGTTTAAAAAGCAGTACACTTGCAAGACCTTTTCCGCACCTGCCTCATTACTGAGTCCAGCAGCACGGCGCAGTGATGTTTCATTGGTGGAAAAAAAGAATGGCCTATTCTAAGTACATATCAACAGTAATACTGTAGGTCCACATATCTACAGTTTAAGATCAGTGCTGTATCATCTTCTCTTTACAGGGGACCACTTCCCTTTTTTACCAGCGGCAGAGAAAAGCCGCGCACGCCCAGTGTGCATGTGAGCTGGGCTGAGAGCCATAGGGACTGAATGGTGGGGCAAGCAGGATGATTGCATGTCACTTCCTTGTGTCAAAGACCAGCCCCTCCCTGCAATCGGTCCCGAAAGCGCTTCTCGCCCCAGATTAGCCATCCCTGAGCCTCCTTTCTTCTGGGGGTGGCTGTCGAAATATAAATGCCACTGGTGTAGCAGTCTGAACCTGCGCAGGTTTTCTGAGCTGCACTGTACTCCGTAAGCAGGTACCAGATAATGCGGTGCACCTTAGTGTTGGCAAGTGTGCAACACCCACTTTACTCCGCCGCTGGTGCAACACAGTCAGGACAGTGCAGTTGAGAAAATCTGAGATCTCAAAATGTCAATATTGGCATAAAACACACCGACTACGACTGCCGTCTCTGTTGTTGTTTGCTGGTTTTTAGTGAAGCTTAATGCAGTTTAGCTTTAAACCAGAAAAGAGTGAAGCGTTTCACCGAGGGACCTCAAAACCAGACACTGGAGGCGATACAAACTGTTTTTGGGAAATGACAGCAGTCGTAGGTTAACACTTTTTGTGGGGCAAGAAAGAGTTGCAATCTTCAGTATGGTCCCCAGCAAGGACGCAGACAACTCCAGTATAACTACAGATATGAGGACAGCCAAAGAGAGGCCCTGGCACCCCCAGCAAAATAAGATTAGAAACAATATTACAATATTCAAAAAACACATTCTATCAAACACCTTTCAATATAATGTCATAACGTACCACCGACTGAAAGTATAACCTCATATCTGATTTCATCGGATGGATGCCTGATGTTTTCACAGTTTGCCTGTTATTGAGTAAACCTGTCACTTCTCCAGCGTCAATGAAACCAGCTGTGAAAATCATTGAGATCTGCAGGGAGCGCTTCCTTATTTGTTCTCAACGTGCAGTCTGGACTGCCCCCAAGAACTGATCAATAAAGAGCTAGAACAGCCAGTCAAACCCAGCAGAAAACACACAAAAACAAAACAAGCACAGAAAGGGGAGTGCACACAAGGCGAGTGTGTTATTTCACTCCAGCCACAACTGCGAGTGTGTCTGTGGAAACCATTGCTCGCCTGCAGAGCTGTGTAGGGCACTGCACGAATGTTCCAGTGGCACCAGCATCACCTGCTCAGTACCCAGCACTCAGTACAGTATGTACCGGAGACTGGCTATGTGGAGAGAAAGATGCAGACAGAGAAACGGAAAGCCAACGGTTGTGTCTGAACAATTAGCATGCAAAGGCAAAACAGGCTGTTACATTTCTCCAGAAACGTATCTGCCTGGTGTTCATGAAACACTGGCTGTAGGAGATACGCACTGCTCACCTGAGCAGCAAACAAAAGACAAAGGGAAAAACTTTTTTGAAGCACCTCTGCCTTTCAAGGCCTGCAGAGCTCTGTTTTATCTGTGAGCTAGGAGGCGCCGCAAGAGGGGTGTCTGGAGATAGAGGGGGAAAGGTGAAACCTGTTCACAGCAAACAGACCAGCCATCTCTCCTCTCCTCCAGCACGGGGACTTTCCAGGGCCGCTAAGTAAGAACCTAGTTTAGCAACACAGCCAAGCACAGAGCTAAGGATGTTATTCAAATTTAAATTGAAAGGATTCTCAGCACCATTAACGCTATTGTATTGTGAAGCGCACGGACGACAATTCCTCAAAGCTACTGACATTGCACTGTGACCCAGGATTTCACATACTTTCAAGCCCCGTGTAAAAATAAAGATTTCTACCCCGTACACTACAATAAACCTGACCTGCTTTTTTAATTATAAAACTCTGACAGGCAAAGTGGCATTTCGAAAAGGTTGGAATTTACACCCACTCCAGAAAGTATTAATCAAATACTGTAATAGGCAGATCTATTATTCAGGAACATTACTTATACCAACATACAAAAAACCCACATCGACCCAACTGATAAATAATTTGCAAGATTATTATCCCCCGGCTATCATTTGTCAGCGCCTAGATGCAGACTACAGTGTACTCATATCATTAAGCCAGTTCTGCTTCTGCTATATTACTTTCAAACCAATTATTGATCTGTTTTCTTCCTTGTGATTCTTAAAACCATTTGTTGCTGTTTTTTTGTTTAGAAATCATTGGAGTGCAGTGACTTCCCTGAAGTGAAATATGCAAATTATAAAGGAAAGCAACACTGTGATCTTCTGTTTCTCCCAGGAACATCGCAAACATTACATGTGATGTACACTGCATGAACAGAACCCGTTGTTGCTGTTTCTGTATGTCTACAGCATTCATGCAAATAACATGCAAAGAACCAACAGCTTCTTTCTTCTCAAGTTAATGTGACTAGAAATGGACTCTGCAGACCTTCACAGAGAAATTATGTCTCGGAGAGTTAAAATAGCATAACAGCCATTAGCCATGCAGCTTGTCTACTGTTACTGCTGCAAAATCATTGAAGCTCAGGCAGCTTCAGTAATGCATGGAAAAAAGCTCTATAGATTTATTACATGAGAACATAAAGGCTGCACACAATTGGGGGTTATTTGGCCCATAGGACCTGTTGGTATTCAAATGATCCAAGGATCTCATCCAGCTGTTTCTTCAAAGAAACCAGGGTATTGGCTTCAACAGCACGGCAGGCTGGCTTGTACCAGATTCCCACAATCCACAAGCGCGGCACCACAAACTACACCGCTGTAGTTTTAAATACACTTCCATGTAGTTCCCACTTGCGTGCCGAGATTCAGGTTTCACTGTTCATTGTGGAGAAATCTGTAGGCTTGACTCTGTCTATGATTTTTATCTTATTTTCTCCCTTTCCATGTGCCCAGGTCACCTATTATATATACAATCTACCAACAGTAGTTGTACAGACTGTGCCTTAATTAGACTTTGTATAAAAAAAAGTACAAAAAGTTTAAGGCAGTTGCCGTAATTTTACGCTCCAGTTTAAAAGATGCCATTAGTTACTGGTCACCACAGTCACTACAGCTCCTTTTCATTTCAGGGCACGGACATTCCAGGGGATCAGCAAGAGTGGTATTGGCGATGTCATGGGAAAGCTTGTCCAATTGTTGCGGTTCTAACCAGTGATCTTTTGTTTTCACTTCTGTCTTCCAGGAAACTGCACACAAAGACAGCAGCAGCAGCACCGCTGCCTCCTCCTACATGCTTTGAGCTCTGCAGAGGAGAGAGAGAGAGCGAGAGGCCTGAGGGCTGACTGAGACTTGCACACGATGAGCTCCCACACTGCCAGCTCTGAGCTCAGAGAATGGATGGGTTTCAGGGGGCCTCTCTGATCCACCACTACGAATCCAAACCGCTTCTTGCTTTGGAGACACTGCGAGCAGAAGAGGCCAGAACCTTCCCCCGCAGGAACGGAGACGGATTACTACTCTCTGTCGCGGGATCTCGGGGACGCCGTGTGGGGAGGGCGAGACTTTTTTAAACCAAAGTCCGATTGATCAGTCTTGGGTGCAGGTTTTGTGGGACTCGGGGGGGGGGGGCTTTCGGGGGGCAGAAGATGAATAACAGCAACTGCTCCACGGAAGACCTGAAGAAATACGTGCACTTCATTTACGCGGTCACCTACACCGTGATCCTGGTGCCGGGGCTGATCGGCAACGTGCTGGCACTCTGGGTCTTCTACGCCTACGTGAAGGAGACCAAGAAAGCGGTCATCTTCATGATCAACCTGGCCATCGCCGACCTGGCCCAGGTCCTCTCCCTGCCTCTGCGGATCTACTACTACCTGAACCACTCCTGGCCCTTCGGGGAGTTCCTGTGCATGTTCTGCTTCTACCTGAAGTACGTCAACATGTACGCCAGCATCTTCTTCCTGGCCTGCATCAGCGTGCGCCGCTGCATGTTCATCATCTACCCGCTGCGCTACAGCGCCACCAAGCGCCGCTTCGACCTCTACCTGAGCGTGGGGGGCTGGTTCTTCGTCTGCCTGTCCTGCCTGCCCTTCCCCCTGCTGCGCCAGAGCACGGAGCAGCCCCCCGCCCCCGACAGGTGCTTCTCCGAGCTGCCCCTGCTGGCCGTCAGCAAAGCGGCCGGCGTGGCCATGATGGCGCTGGCCGAGCTGGTGGGCTTCGTGCTGCCGCTGGCGCTGGTGCTCACCTGCTCCTGGAAGACGGCGGCCAGCCTGCGCGAGAAGACCGGCGTGCTGCAGGACAGCGGCGAGAAGCGCAAGGCCTTCAAGATGGTCCTGAGCTGCGCGCTGGTCTTCCTGGTCTGCTTCGCCCCCTACCACATCACCTTCCCCCTGGACTTCCTGGCCAAGTCCCACGCCGTGGCCAACTGCGCATTCCTGAAGGCCATCCTCCGGGGGCACCCCATCACCCTGTGCCTGGCCAGCCTCAACTCCTGCCTGGATCCCATCATGTACTACTTCACTACAGATGAGTTCAAGAGGCGGCTCTCCAGGCAGGACCTGCAGGAGAGCTTTCAGCTCCACAGGAAATTCTCCTGCACTAATGGAGAGGACAAGCCACTCTGACCCGACCCGAGCAGAACTCGGGAGAAATAAGCTGTGCCTGTTTATGTGAAGTCAGTAACGAAAAGCAAAGCCCCGCAGTATTTCGGGATCTTATCTTTCACCTCGAACGTTCATCTCCGGAGGGGTTCAAATGTGACGGTGTTCGTTTTGTTTTTTAACAATTGCACTGTATTCGGGAAATTCATGCAGCGGTGCAGCGACCCCTGTACTTTAAACAAAAGACAAACTCGCAAGAGAGCGCGTAGCTCCCTATTTATATAATTGGTGTTTCAAGGTCACTGTGGGTCATCCTGTGAGTGAAAAAGTAAAAAAAAAAAAAAAACTACAACATTTCTGTTGAAGAGCACATGGCAGTCATTGCTAAATCCAGCGAAGGGGGAAGTGAAAAGGAGTCAGGGTGAGAAACGCAAAGCAGCACAGTGTGCGTTTGTGCAAGATGGCTTAAACCCTTCGATATGTCCAGTCGACTTACATTAGATTTTTATTCCCACCTCAAAGTGAGCTCATGCACATAGGGTCTGTAGCTCTGCAGAGCCTGTCGAAAGCACCAACAGATTTCAATAACGTAACGGACCTCGCACCACAAAAAAAGAACTCTTTTCCTTCATCTAGATAGAAAAGCCCAGCTGTGGTCTTCTCTAAATTTGGTTTGGTACAGATTGTGCAGAGTGCAATTTATGGTAGTACAACTGATCGTTTTCTTAAATAAATGGCTGCTGTCTGCACCGCGTGGCTGGGTCCAGGAACACCTTCAGGACTCAAAAGCAGCATTCTGTTGTGGACCCTAGCCAGTGAGCGAATACCATCAGTCCACACATCCCTCACCCTGACTGCTCCTGCAGGCAAACACTGGCTCTCGTCAAAAGCTGGCCTGGCCTTGCTTTCAATCCTGTGATGTACCACTGGTTTCTCAGTGCAAGAGATCTAAGTGGTTGCAAGCATTTTTAAATATTATTTCTATTGTATCAATAGGCAACTGTCTATTAAAACGCACCTTTTTCAGATATGGGAAAAAAAACCTGAAATAAAAAAAGCTGTCTAGACGGATGTTTTTGATGTTGTTCACTGCCGGCCAGTAAAACAAACAGTTTAGTTTAGAACTGTTGTTCAAAACTATGCAATATCTATAAACTCAGTTTGCTGCAAAATGTGATTTGGTACCCACCTCACATTCGCAAAGCTGACATCAAAGAGAAGTACTGTATTCATCATTGACATAAATTAGTTTACATCTAAACGTCTGAGACTTTTTGACTAAATCAAAAACAGTCACAAATGTATGCAACACATTCAGGCAGAAACCCAAACTGATTTCAATCTGTAGTAAAAGCAGCATTTGTTTATGACTTGGTCCTTGTAGATAAAAAGGATATAGTTCACAGCCATCAACAGGCTGTCAGCCCCATGTGAATAAACAGAATGTCACTGTTATTCATTTATTTATCTGATGCCTTTATTTCAGGCCACATCAGACCTGAAACAGAGCAAAAAAAACAGGAGAAAAGGCGAAAACCAGAAGTCCTGTTTCAGAAAGTTTTTTTCATTCCAAAAACCCTGGGAGGAAATCCAGGCTGTAGTCTGTCCTGCAGTGTCATGACACAATTCCCATGCTCTCTGCAGAAATGCAGAGAAAAACCACATGGCAGCAACATAAACGCAGGTTTGAAAATAGATTGTGTGTGCGTGCATCTACTTAGCCAGCTCATCAAGTCACCCAAATAAAGTTAATTACCCTTTCAGGGGATAAGAGCAGTCTGATTCACAACGATGGTGTGAGTGTTGCTCAAGACAGCTGGCAGTTCTGCTGACACATGACATGTGTGCTCAATTAAAAAAGGGCTTCTTTACATTTGGAAGTTAAGAGTGCACACTTCCTGACTCCCACCGCACTTGCAGATGAACCCCCCCAAGGAGGTCCGTTTAAAAGATAACACTTTAACAGCAAATGATAAGGGCAATTAAAAAAAAGACCGTCACAAATTTCCAAGGGCGATTTCCTGTCAAACCTCTTCGCTATGGGACGTGGCCACATGGTGGCGATGCGCACGAGGCAGAAATGCCAGTTTAAAAATGGGGTGGCAAGAGTCTAATACAGACTCCTGGCCCCAACAAAGGCACTGTTGAATCACAGGCAAAACCACTGGCAGCCTGCGGTTGAGAGTGTTATTCATTAACAGTTTCATTTAATAACTCTGGGCTGTAAATGATGCTAGAAATGATGCTAAATGATGCTACAACATAAGAAAGGTTACAAATGAGAGGAGACCATTTGCCCTGGCCTGTCTGGTAGAGTGTTAACTAAAATATAAGCATTTGTGCTCCATTTTCAGACTGAATTTGCATATGTTTTTCAGAGCAAACGTTGACAAACACACAAACACGGAGGGAACATGCAAACTCCACACAAACAGACAGGCGTCTTAAGATAGAATCAGACTCAGGACCCTGGAGCTGTCAGGCAAGCGTATTTAAGAAAACCCCCTGCCTGAGCTCACTCAGTTTACCTGTAAAACATTACTCTGCATTGCGAATTGGTGTTAATGGATATTGGAAAAGAAACAATTGACAAATTGTTGATAAGCAGAGTTTAATATGCAACATTCAGCCGTAAAAGTAGGCAAATCAACTAGACAGCAAAATATTTTATGCACTCAATAAAACTACTGTACATAATCAAGGCACATCATGATATTAGACAAAGAAGTGTCAGCGCTATTAATCCAATAAAAGTAGACAATTGCAAACAGCAAACTTAAGTGACAAATGGACAGGTCTATGTCATTTGTATGGAATGCTCAGCTCAGAGCTATGCTTCAGGTCAGTGTTTAATGAAATGCAGTTGATCTGCAAAACAGACAATGTGTCAGTTGTTTTAAGTTACAGCACACCATTCCCTGGTTGCAAAGTACCAGAAAGCCTCTCTTCTGTCTGAAGAAGATACCCATCTATGTGAGAAAAGTGAATTAAAAAATATTTAACTTGTATTTAAAGTATTTAAACTCTGTAAATAGTTGGGAATTGTTCTTCATACCTCCCAGTCTGTAATGTGATTAAAAATATATTTTTTCAATATACATTTGAAATATAACAAACCAAGTGTGTTTGCATCGTACTGTACAGTGTAGAATGTCACCTTTTTACATTCTGATCAAAATGTCCGCAATAATTGTAAACTGTAACAAACAGCATTTCAACCCTAATTTTCCTGAATTCAGAGTGAACCAGCTTTTATCAATAACTGGTCATTTCCTCTCATTTTTTTTACTTGAAAGACACTAAGAATGCCAGAAAGCAATTACATTGTCCTGCAGGACGTTTTGTGAAACTTAATCGAAAATCATTACTTATGCCTCAATATCCTAATTTATTTGCTTAGCACATTCTGCCCAAGCACTTGGGCGTGTGTGTGTGTTAAGAGCTCTGTTTAGAACGATCCTGTATGAGTCTCTCTCCAGATCTCCTGTTAGAAGCATGTCTTGCCAAATGCCCAGATAAAGTCAACCTCAGGAAGTACTGTGCAGCTCAACAATGAAACAAGGACAAGGAATCACAAGGGGAAATTGAGAGGTAATAACTTTAGGACAGGAAACAGAAGTGAGGAAAACAAATGCCAAAACTGATCGATTGGTTACTGGCAGTCAAAAGAGAGAGACATCATCTTGTCTGTAACTCGTGTTTTAAGAAGTGCATTGGTTATTAAGCCCTACTTCTTGTCAGAACTATCAGAGATTGCAGCAATCCCTGTCTCCCTCCCTCTGGGTGCCTGGACAGTTAGTAGTCTGTTCTGGTCATCTGTGTAACAAAATGTCATGACCCGGAAGATATTGCAATGGACCAATGGGCTGCACTACATCCTGAAACGTGATGCGCGTAACCGACCGGGACATCGTGACAACTCTTTGTTCACAAAGCAAGCAGGCTTTTCAGAACTGTCACATCAGCCTACCAACATGGCACCCATGTGAAAAAAAATGCTAAAGGAACAGCAAGTTGTGCTTTGCAATGAAATCTGGGATTATTTTTATTATTGCTACCTACTGTCCTAGCATGTCACAGCATCTCCACAACCTTTTTTTGAGAGAGGACTTTTGTTGCCTCTTCTGGAAAACCAAATCTCAATTTGTTGTCCCTCTCAGCCATGTGATCAGTACTAATACACAGAGGATCACTTTAAATGGATGATGGGGAGGAGCCCTCACAGCAAGTAAATGAAGGCGTCACCCTTTATAAGCCTCTCCATAGACTACTTCATTCTGCTCAACACGATCTTGAGCCAAACAGAGTGCACACAAGGCTTCTACGGCTCAGTGCATCAAGTCTCTGATATGAGACTATATACGGAACCTGCCTAGATGCACAACAACTCCTATTGGCCTTTCCAAGATCTTCAAGAGGTCTCCTCCTGATCCTGTCATTGCTGTGATTAAACAAGGTGTTTTGTTTTTTTTTGCAAAACATACCTGCCAGTAGAAAATAGAGCAGATGCTTCTCGTGTGCATTACCGGAGGAGAAATCTCACAGAGCCCAGCTCCTACTTCAAAGACAAAAGTCTTGTTTAAAGGCTAATAAATGGGTTGAAGAAGAAGGCCAGCTGCTATCTGTAATCACAAAAGAAAGCTGGTCTCATGAACAGTTAAATCACAGCCCAGATAACAATTTGCTGACTGCTTATACTAATGTATTCACAGGCAGTTGAAAATCGGGTGCAATTTGGCTTGCAATTGTGTAACCTATCAAAGTCTCCGATCTCTGCCATGAGGTTTTCTGACATAAAAGCTGTCACTCACTGCATTTGTTCCTTCGTACAAATATTTCACAACACCAAAAATGTTTTGAAGCAAGAGGAAAGTAGTTGCAAGAGGGACAGTCTAGAACAGTATCAAATTAACTGGAGTAAGCATTCCCTTCAAATACAGTATACATGCACACAGACAAAGTTATTTATTTTCATTAAATACCATGTAGCTGCTAGTTTTACAAAGGAAAGCAATGTGACTGCATTCAGTTGTTTGTTTGCTTTTTTTTTTACAACACAGGGCCATAAAAGACTCCATTAAAGACCAAGCTGCAATACAACAAAAATACTTGGAACATGTTTGTGTGTTTCCATCAGCCTGATGCAAGAAGCCTACTGCATATGCAAAACTACTATGAAGGAAAACATGCCCTTCTAAAGGTGCTATAGAAACTGGTACTTTACAACCAGGGAATGGATTATTATTAATTCGGCTACACCAAGAGCCGGCTGCAGTCCTGCAGGGCCGGGATAGAAGCCACAATTCCTTGCTGCTCTCAGCAAGTAGCATGTTTCCTGATGAGCTGACAGCACTGGGAGAAACAAAAAGGCCAGTTTGTGATAGGCCATCATGCAGAAAAAAAGGAAGAGGTCTGTACACAGTATATACACATACGCTTTTATTTCACTACAGACCTATTTCTACAAATATTTTCACAAATTAGCAATACAACATCCATTCAGATATGCACCTAGAACACAACAAAAGCATAACATAACAAAACTAACTAGATGACACAGAATTCAGAACAGCACCGAGGAAAATTAAAGTATTGTGTGCAGTCAGATCTTGGCAGTGTTGATGCACATTCATATTTTGCATTCTGTTCCAGCCATACTCAACTCCTACACATGCGAAATGGATGCATGAGAGTTCAACCAGGGGGTCACGTAGAGTTGTACACCCCCATTCTGCAAAACGTCTCGTCCCAGATTTCATCTGTAACGGAAAAACAGCCGCAGCACATCAGCCTTCTTTCTCAGAAGCGGATTACGATGACCACCAACATCACTGCCTCTAGAAGGGGCTGTCAATACCACAGAGACAAAATGAATGGGGATCTGGGTGGGAGGTTAAAGTAACATTCGAAGCGTAGTTCTCATAATCTGTGTGGTTTTTCAAGCACCAATGTAGGCACTTTTACAGTTAGAGATGAACACCACGCTCACAGCTCCTTGATTTTAAGCAGCGAGGATGCACATCAGCTTGCACAGAATACTGTACGACAAGCTTGCAAGTCAGAATTCTGTAGCAAACCACTTTCCACATACAGGGATGGGCTTCTTGAAAGTGCAAAGGAAAGGCACCCAGTAAAAAGAACACATTGTACGCATTGTAACAGGTGAGACAAGAGCTTCCTGCAAGCACAATGAAGAACAGCAGCTGCAGAAATGAATAACGGTTTGAATCCTTTTCAACAACTTTGCAAACAAAGAGCACACATGACATAGCAAGTGCCACACAGCCTGACCACCATTTCCAAGCACGCTTGCTCTGTGGCACTCACCAAAGCTGCCTCAAGGGTTAAGCACACGTGCACAAAATGAACCTTCCCTGACGTCTTTAAAAACAAACAGGCAACCTGTGTGAGCTACTCTACCATCGTCTATTTCAAATCTGAATTCACAGGAAACAGCAAAGCTGTTGGATTCAGTGTTGGATTCATTGTCTTTAAATGACTTCACAAAAGTAAAAAAATAGCACAAACAGCAGTAAAATTCTAAGCGTATCCCTGAGAAACATTCACACTAAGGTGCAGCTACTGGTGCCCATTAATGAGAACAACTAAACCCCAGTCAGTAAGCACTTACATGTGATTTATACAGTCAAATCCCCACTTATGTTATTTCATCATACTCCCTGCTTGAAGCCTGTTAGCTTGTAACTCTTGGCAACTCATCAGAGAAAATTAGCAGCTCCTTAAATAAATATGTCAGGAGAAATTAATGCGCCCCGACTGGGAACCAGGCAGCTCTGCCAGAATCCCCCGGGAGAGTAAAAACGAAACGTTTCCGCCACACAAATGTTAAGCCAGATTTACTAATTGGCGTAAGGCAGTTTATATTCCTTTAAAAAGCCCATTTTAAAGAAACTGCAAGCAGCAGAAAAAGAACCCTCCCCCACACACTTCTTAAACTACTACGATTTTACCTCTGTACAGTATGTGAGGGTTTCTAGTGTGGCTTACCTTCTCAATTCTGAAAAGCCACACCATTGGTTATGGGGCTATTTAAAGCACATAATTTACTCACTGCAAGGATTACAATGAGTTAAAGCAATGGAGTGCTAAAAAACTGAAATGCACTGAACTAAACCTATTCTTATTGCAACTAAATAGTTTTCCAAATGCATTTTTCACACGAACCACCTCAGAACTTCAGAATAATAGTTTGAATGAAACTAGTTTTTTTAAAGTTTAGATGTGCTGTAATGATTTTAAGAAAAGAATCTTCATGGTGCATCGACTTTATATTTATCATCTGCATTGGAGATTATCAGTGATTTTTGAAATATTATTCACCAGCTCCCTCTACTGACTCTGTAGAATTACTACAGTCAAGAAATAATCCCAAATGCTGGTGCCTTTGAAAGAAATTACTTGTTGGGGTTTATGGTGAAAACATGCAAACATTTTTTCCAGAAGAGGCATTTGAAGATGGACAATTTATTGCCGTGCATTTACCAAAAGAACATGCAGACAAAACAATAAGTTATTTTTTTAAAGAAGTCATTTATTTATCAACATAAACTTACAAAGTGAATTTCATACAATGGTTTGCAAAGCATAATCCTCATCTTTAAAAGACGTTTCAGCATCCTAAGCCTCCATTTTCTGTCACATTGGTAACATGGTTTAAACCCTGCTTTCTAGATTCTTGATTGTCCTTCCATGAACAGTAGTCATGCAATCGCGCATGATGATTTCCGCACGTTAATTAAAAGAAATGAACAGAAAAGCCATCTTAAAATTAGCACTTGAAAGGCATCAACAATTAACCACGCATACAGCTTTTGCGGTTAGAGGAAATTACACTGATTCCAAACTTTACTGAAGACAGCACCGGAGAATAGCACACCTACAATCATAGTTAATGTGGTTTAAATTAGATTAGCTTCACATTGACCCGATATTAGCATAGCAGCGAAGAGCAAAGAACACCCAGTTCTCTCCTACACAGATGCTGATGGCCAGTGGTGTAACAAGGAGGAAGTTGGGGAGGGGAGGGGGCATTTGGGTTTTGTGAAGGTGCTCCCATATGCCCAAGCAGCACAATGGCCCCAAGACAGAGGTGCAGTTCACTGCTAACTGATTTAATTACATAAAATTAAATGTTGCATTGACTCAGATATTGCACTTGACCACTTCAAGTTGGAAACTAAGCAGAGGGAACAAAGGAAAGACGCTGCAGGCATTAACCTTTTCTCCCGTACACACACCCAAGCACTCCGTTTCATTTTTATTCATTTGACAGGTCTGTTTAAAGTACTAAAAAAAAAAGTATCTTTTCAATCCATGAAAGCATTTAAAGCCTTAAAAGAAAATCTGAGATTTTGTGCAGTTCCAAAACCCGGTAGGGAGAAAAAAAAAAGTGAACCAGTCAGCAAGTATATGAAGTTAAAATTAAAATTCTCTGTCTACTTTTCTAAACAGATTAAAGAAACCAAACTGCATACTGCACCAAACGCACGCACTTGGCATGCCAACCAAAGAGCCCAGCACACTCGGGGCGATAACAACACTCAACACGTACAATAACAGGCTTTGTGATTTGTCCTCAATGTGCAAACATCACAGCTTAGGTTTACCCCTTGGCTTCAGCGATCCTGTTCGTGTTCAAACGATTGCTCACATATTCGTATTACTTGAACTCCGCTACAAGATACTTTGAGTAAATGACCATTAAAAAATGCACAGATAAAAAGTGACATTCAGAATGATAAATCATCCCAAATAATGAAAATCCTATTGAAATATGAAAAGAAGTCCGTGGCCCTATATTACTACAGCTTGGGTTAAATTTATCAGTTTAGCATACGTATACAAGCAGATATGGGATCATGGTACATAAAGACAAGTCAGCTGAGCTTAGTCTGTGATCTTCAGTAGATCTGGCGATAACTGGATTATTTTTCATCTTTAAAATACTCAAGCTAAAACGATAAATACTGTAACTTTTTCTATGGCCCCTTTCAAACCCAAAGTATGTCTAAAAATGGACACCAATTCTAACTGATTTTTTGACAGTGCTGAATTCAAGCTTCAACAGTTAAATCTTTCAGTTAGTAGAAGCAAATGACTTTTACACATTACTAGCACGGCAGTTCTACTCAGGGTCGAAATCGATTGCTTTTCAGCTTCACTATAAAGAGGTTTAAAGGAACCACAGTCTAGTTTCAGCTACAAAAAGGCACCAGTGATACAGAACATGCTGCTAAGGACTGGAGGCAGGGGAAGAAGAATCTTAGCACAACCTCACATACGGCTTGCTATCAGACAGGTAGTGGTTAATACAGACATGTCCACAAAGAAACAGAACACCCAGTTTTTCAATACCATCTCCCAACATTCAAATCTCGCGACTGTTTTATCATAGAGCCAAGCACCACTGTTAAACTTCCATGGTGCAAATGCAGTGGGTTTTCAAAGGAATTTTAAGGGCCCTAGGAACATTTAATGAAGATACAACACAAACCTTACCAACTTACCAAAACATTCTGATACACTGTTAATGCTGTTACCAGCAGGGAAAGAAAAAAAACATACGTCTAGCAACAACAACAACAAAAAAAACCAATACCATTAATACCCTGGCTGCAGAAATAAGTGAGCCTAAAAGTGGCTCAGGTGATACAAATCAGCAAATACCTACTTATCTACTGAACTCAGTGCATACAAAGCGGGAGGGGTGAAAACACACGGAAAATGGCTGTTATTTATACGCGTAAAAATTAGCCAGTTCGGAGCACAATTGAACTCCATCATCGAAATCCCATCTCTCCTGCCAAGGCAGAAGACCGGAATGACAGAGGCTCTCGCGGATACCCCCCCCCCTCCCCTCTCCGGCGCTCGTCTCAGAATTTGCAGATCCTGGTTTCAGTCACGAACTTGTTCTCGAAGTGGCGGATGGTGAAGCAATCCTCGAGAGACCGCTTCTGCAGGCCTGTGAAGAAACAACAGACCGGCGATGTGTTTTTGTGTGCCACGACTGCAAATGTTTAACCATCTACACGTGGCAAAAAAAAAAAAGATGAAGCAGCTCAGTTTTAAGCAATTGCTCGTGAGGATCACGTCTTTCAGGTTTCTTTTAGTTTCTGTACTCCTTCACCCGAACCCAAAGCACAAACATCGCTTGCAGCATCAGTGCATTTCACATGCTTCAGAAGGCAAAATTCAGTCCAAGTATATAATGGGGCTCTATTTCATTCTGTCAAGAATGTTAATGACTTTTTGCAGATAAAAACAGAGAAATAAAGGAAAACGACAGCGATTTTCAAGCACTGTACCAATGAACCATCAAACACAAAAGATGGGAACTTCCAGGCTGTGGCAGTACAGGCATCACTCTGGGCAGAGCAGTTCAGTGACAAGAGACAGACTGTCACCCCGTCTCGTTATGCTTTGTCATTTCAAAAGCTAAGGGACCACCCACTGAGGACTGGAGCTGTAAAACATGGACAGACTGAGGGATTAGAAATCACCCACTTATCAGTGCTCCTTTCTCTAACTGGTAATCGTAAACATTTTTGTTTTGAAGCATCTTGCATTTCCAAAGTAGATGCATATCTGCCGCTTTTCAGCTAAAAACATGCAAATAATCTTAAGGGGAGATAATGTAGAGGGTAACATTACATGTTTCAGAAAAAAAGGCAGAAACGGAAACCCCTCCACTGTGAAAGACTGCCCAACAAAATCCAACCATCCCCAATTCCTGCAAGGAACATAAATGGAAACTGTCAGCATTATAGATCCAGCAGAAAGGGGAAGCTATACATTACCAATGATCTCACTCCTGTGCTGCATCCTGTAAGTGTCCTTGTCATCACAGAGGTTATAGATGTAGAACCCCAGCTCAGTCACGTCGTCAATACGCTCGGTCACGACCAAGTCCTCATGTATCAGGTAAGTCTTGTAAGAACCAGTCTGAAAAAAGAACAAAAGAAACCTTTAGACAAAAACATTCACTTCTAAACCATCTCCAATACAGTACTGTTGCAAGACCAAAGAAACACAAAAGACAAAACTGTGCCATCTTACTCTTCCAAGATTTTACTTGGTGGTTTGCAGTAAACTTTAAAAAGATTGAGTAATTTACCAGTGAATTAACTTCAGCTAGAATAACCCAACACATTATTCAATGCAGCTGTGCACAAATAGCACTGCAGCATGTAAATGTTCTGGGAGCTTTAAGCAGACAGACCACATCCACTGAGAGCCCATGAAAGGTTTTTTTAAGAGTATCTTTTCTCAGCAGTGATGTGGGGATATAGATTTCTGTAAACTGATACATCACATAAGGAAGTGGGACGATGTTGCTTACATCAGCAATCAGCAATAGGACAACATTGAAAGTACTTAACTTGAAAAAATATTGAACATCTGAATAAAGGCCGTTGAATTTGTGTGCACCACTGTCTTGGTGATACAGAAAGTTAATGATTCAAAAGGTTTTGAATGCTGTTCTAAAATGTTGACTCCTTTGAAGTCAGCCCAGTGCTGTTACTTATTATGAGACGAACACGATAGTATTACAAACCATTAACTGCACAAAGAGATCCAGTAAGTCTTCAGGAGGCATGACAACCGAGGAGTTGAGAGGAATGACAAAGCAGGTGTCCAGATTCAGATCCAGGTAAGCCGTCAGTTTCTGTTAAAATAAAACCACCGATTTATTTGTTTGCATCACATTTAACGGAAACACTAATGTTCCCACTCTGAACTGAGAAAATGTCAGCAAAGCAGTTGACTAGAATAATAACAAGACTGCACAAGGGTTTGCAGAAATGGGTTCTGCATGCAGAAACGGAATAATATTCTCTACATGCAAGACGCATCAATGGCTTTAATACTACAGAGCAAGGATATGCAGAAAAGGAAACTAGCCATGCACTCCTAGCATTCCCCATCCATTACTTCTAAACAACACTGTATACAATGTATGCATTTTTTTTTAGAATGGGAGGGCGTAAGCATTCTAGTATCAAGAAATGTCAAAGAGTAAACGTAATCGCTCAATAATATAGACCAAAACCCGGTTTTAATCCTGAGGCTAGGCTCCAGCTCCGCCTCACCCTGTCAAAGTCGTGCAGGATGGCCGCAGGGTCGGTGGGAGCGAACTGAGGGACGGGCACATTGATGATGGCCACGTTGTCCCGGATCTCCACCTCCTCGTCGATGCGGGGCAGGTAGTAGGGCTCGCGCGTCTCCAAGTCCATGGGCACCAAGTTGTTGTCCATCTCGGCAAAATGCATGCCGCCATGGTACAACTTCTGCTTGGGGGGGGCAAAAAAAACACAATCAAGATGCAATGCTCCCCTATACATCACACTCCCCAGCACTACGTCTGCATCAGGCCCTGCACAAGGTGCATAGGTTGCTGGAGAGACTTTAATCCTGCTCCATTTTGTGGTTGTTCCTTTTGTCGCAGCTGTACTCAACATGCAGGCTGCTCAATTTTAAATGGCAGGGCTGTGTTGCCGGCTTAACACTAAGCAACCAAATCAAAAAGAACTGAGCATGCTTCAGTCATGAAAAACTGCTTACATGTAATACCCCATTATTTGCTAAACAAGAAGCTTCCAACAAATTTTGTTTACTTGGTGATGTAGGAGATATGCCAACGCCAAAGATGTAATTTAACTGCAGCAAATATTTAATTTGAAATCTATTTTATAAGCAAGGGCTTAAATAAGCCCTTTAAGTGTTGCCAAGTGGCAATAGCATTAAAACAGCATGTTATTTTAAAAATGGAAGAAGCTCAAATATAAATCAAAGATTTAGAGAGGAAAATCTAACTTCATTACAGCCATGTCAGAAATAATGTCCATTATGGTCATTATGTTAACAAAAGCACTACCAAGATGACCATAACCTCAGTGTTCTTTTAACAGTCTCCTTATATGGCTTACTGCAATTTCTACCGACTCCAGGGCTGTCTCCTATATAATAGTGGTACTGCACCATCCTATTTGGGGTCAACCATCCTTACATTCGATTTCTTAGCTCCAATTTAATCTGACGATATTTATCTTAAATTTATCTTAAATAGAGCACAGAATAAACCTTTACTTGTTCCTTTGCAGCCAACACATGCTGACGCAGCTCCCTGCTTGAACTGTATCGGGGGTAAGCCCACATTGGCATAGAGAGAACACGGAAACTCCACCAGAAGCAGCCAGGGAGTAACCGAAACCCGGGACAAAGGATCTGGGAAGTAGCTGGACTTGCCAGCTTGTCAGCCATGCTCCCCAAACTGAACGTGCACCCCTCTCCCGCCTTCTGTTCACAGAGGTTCCTGGGGACAGTTACTGAGTGCGTACCTTGGGCGCAAAGTACCTGTACACACAGGCGCCGCCCACGATGAGCCCAGTCAGAATGAAGGCCAGTCCCAGCAGAGTCAGCAAGCACCTCCCTGTGGAGTTCTCATTTCTGTACTCCGTGGCTACCTCGGGATCCTGCAAGGGAGACGCCTCAGGTTAACTGTGGGAAACAAACCTCCAAGCACCATTCTCGTTCGTTTCCTTTTGTTCATTCAGCTAACCCCTCCCTCCGGATCTCTTCATTTACAGCTGGAGTGCAAAGAATGAAAAACAGTTTGTAGCACAAGCGGCTGCCTACTGCAGTGCCAATTAAGTAACAACTATTTAAGCGACGCGTATGTATGGCTTTGCATGCCCTCTTATCTCTAATCTGGCACCTGTTTCACCATCTGCGCTCATCTCAAACAGCATCTGACATTTTTGGCATACTCCTCACTTCCCTTTGTGGCCACAGACCTTCTATATTTATCAAACTCACATCCAATGTGCTTGTAAATAAGTCTGTTTGGTTTATAAAGTAAGCAAATATAGGCTTGCTATTTTTTCTTTACCTTTTGATGCAGGTGTCAATGAGCTAAGTTGCTTAATTGGTGCAAGCAACTTGAAGCAAACTCAGAAATCTACACTCACCTAAGACTAACCCTTTATCTACGCATTGTTTTTTATTTAAGGTACATTGAGGCCTAAGAGACATATTGGTTTACATCTGACTAGTTAGTCCCGAGTGTTTATTCCGAAAACAGATGTATATACACAGACTTCACACCAACAGATTCTTTCTTTTTAGTCAAGCAAGGCAGGAAGAGTAAAAAATTGCTGGGCTCCAGAATTCTTCAGCGACTAAGGAAACTGGTCCCTGGCTCTAGGCTATGCTCCGAAGACCTGACTTCACTGCTCTGGCTCACTTCTGGGCTGTATCATCACTAACCAAACTGGATTGGCCATTTCCAACATTTCTAAGGAAAAAAAGACAACTCTGTGTGGGCTCAAGATGGCCACAGTATCAGCCCTCAACACAGCCGGCACAGCGGGTGAGTCAGAGCTGCAGGAGTCCTCTGGGCCCAAGTGTCTGGACATGGAGTGACTGGCTCTGAGCAGCGTGTGGCCAGCAGGAAAGTGTGCACGCTCCTCACCACTCCTGTGCTGCTGCAACGACCGTAACAAGGGGTAGGCATTGATTAACACCTGCAGACTCCATACTGTGTGAAATAAGTGGAGAGAAATAATGCCAATACCATTTTTTAATAAAATATAAAAAAACTGAGATGTATTCTGAACAAATACTGCAACCATTTTACAATTTATAATAAACTGACAAATGCACTGCATGAAGGCAAAGTCACATGAACGTACTGGAAGAGCGACGTGTGTGTTAGCAATCTTGGTGCTCTTCCTAGGAATTATTCAGCATTTCACTAGAAGGTTGTTCACATGTTACAAATACCTTCCTCTTTTTCAAAACAAAAGTTCACAATATCTGAGGCCTGCAAATTAGTTTCCTGTGCTTGAAACTAATCTTTATGCATATGAACTGTAAACAGCTTCCTGTACTCATATCGTATGTGAAAATTAGTGCACTAGAAACATTCTGCACTGGTGAAGCTTTTGGTTTAGCCTACTTTGCCTTGTAAGTGCATGGTACCCAGCATAGTGCCCCGTGTATATTTTTTCTAACTCCTGGGACCATGGCAGAATCAGTGGAAATGTCCAGTGCATGAACTGCATAAACTCACCATTTTTATAACTCTGCACAAAGCAACTCTTCATTTCACTGTATATTGTTGAGATCATCAAACCTTATTCTTTACTGTTTAATTTGGCAGTAATCTCTAAATAAGTAGAATGAATAAAGCACTCCGTTTATTCAGAATGCCACTCCAGCAATGCTTTCTAGTTGCAAAAGAGCTGTGAAGCGGTTGTTGGATTTTGGTGCTGGTGATTAGAACACTGCTGTTTTACATAGTCACACAAAAAAAATCAACAGCAACTGACTGCTACTTCCCAATTTTAGTAAGATTTTAGCAGCACTTCTCTTTGAATTTTGAAGAAAAGCAGTTAACTCAGTGAACCGAAACTATCAAACTGCAAGATCCCAAGAACAGATAAAACAACAGATGCACTATGTACACTTAAACGGGACTAATGTTGATAATGGAGTTGAAAGCTCGTCGTCTAGATTTTGAGTTGGGGAAGAACAGAAGTGTATCAATAGATGGTGCTAATGTGTTTTAAGATGGCAAAGCAAGAACGACAAACTTTACACAACTATCATGTCCACTGTCCCTGCTTTTTAATCCCTATACACAGTGCAGTAGTAGCTAAATTATCTGTGTAATTAATGAAGATGCTTATTACAAGCAGGTGCGGCAGTCAGACACACAACCAGAAACTCTAATCATATTTCTGCAAAAGGCCCAGTATACATCACACCAAAAAAAGTCTGCAAGAGCTTGCCAAAAGATTAACAATATCAAATATTTTGTTGTTTGACATAAATCCTTTTCCCTGTTCAGCATTCAGCTTATAACATAAATAAGCGGTGCAGTGGCTCTGTGGCTGGAAGGTTGCCAGTTCGTATCCCGAGGCTGGCAGAGGAATCCTACTCCATTGGGCCCCCTGAGCAAGGCCCTTCACCCCAACTGCTCCAGGGGCGTCGTATAAATGTCTGACCCTGCCCTCTGACCCCCAGCTTCTCTCCCTGTCTGTGTGTCGCATGGACAGCAAGTTGGGGTATGCGAAAAAAAGAAATTCCTAATACAAGAAATTGTATATGGCCAATAAAGCGATTTGTCTCTCTCTCTACTCAGATGGTGGAAAAGCACTTTAACCAACTGTTAAAGGGACATGCCATTGAAAGCACAGGTACAGCAGGAATTGAGACCTTAATGCTGTTGGTTATCGCTTATCATGGAAGGATTTTTGCAAGATGGAGGGGAGAAAGAGAGAAGTTAGGATGTGGGAAAGGTCAGTTAGCACCAGCAATAAAGTGTGCAACCGTGCTGTGGTATCTGAAAATATCGCGCTTCCTGCATTCCTTGAAAGTTGATTTTCCCCAAACAAAACAGTGCCGCACTTCAAAACGGAAGGAAAAATGCATTAGCATTAACCATACTGCTGAACTGATAAAGGGGGATTTACATATTACCAGTATCAAACAGTTACTTGTTCCCAGCAATAACCCTTCAAGCAATGGCACAAGCAGGCCCCTGTAAGGGCAGCTGCATCCTAATATTTCTGTCGGGAGTTACCACTGGGGCATCTGTTACAACTTCTGCAGATACTGGGAGCACACTGATAAACATCTTTTAAACAAGTACCTTAAACTGTAATTGGGGAAACGTCCCACCTTGATTGACGAGAGTGATACCAAAATCAAACAGTAGACGACAAAACAGAAACCGCCGGAATCCAAGTCCGGCAATAATACAATTCAATCTGCGTGTGTGAGGGGTGTTCAGTCCCGAGTTGAATTCTTTGTTTTAATTTTAGAGTTGAAATTGTATCAGAGGTTAGATACTTCATTGGTCGCCTAGTAATGATAGGAAGATGAGTTATTAGCTTACTTCAAATGCTCAATCTAGAAATTCGGCAGACCTTTACAAATAACTAAATATGATCAAACGCATAGTGCCAACGCCAAAAAAATAATGCCAGACGCATTAGGACAGCTCACCCCTCGGAGGTATCAGGACGACTCGTGTGCCCTCTACATAACTAAACATGTATCTCACGGTACTGAGAAAAGACACAATACCACCGATATTTATTTTTTCGTTTTTGTACACCAGACAGCAGGACGACGACGACGAACAGGGGCTGTCCTAATTAGCACTTTCATTTTCGCGTTTAGGAAAAAGAGCAACTTAGATCGTGTTTCTCACTTAAGGACACCGGTGCAAAACTAACGAAGAGCTACATGCAGCGTTGTAATAGGAGCCCGGGAATACCGTATACTGCGCCACAACACGCTCATCGGCTGGAGCTTTAAGAATAAAAAGCACACGGTAATGCGTGTGCATGTTAATATCGCACTACGGACGTGCTGCTCATACAACTGACTACTACAAATAAATACGAGGCCTAACAGGTAAAACAAAACGAGCCTCTTTAAAACAGGCAACATACCTTCTCGGCCACAAGCACATCGCCTTCTTTGCCGAGGGCTTTCTGAGCCAGAGAGGAGTTAAAGGCGATTTTCACCATGTTACCAAAAACCAGGCCGTGGGTGTCAACGTCGTCAAATAAAAACAAAAGTCCTTGATCCTCGAGCTCTTCCGCAGCCTCTTGATCTGCCTGGTCTCTTAGTGACGCACTTTTCTGTCGCTCCTCTTCTCTACAAAACCGGAACTCCCCTGTCGGCCCCGCCCCCGCTGCTCGTCACATGACCAGGCCGTGCCGCACTTTCCGCCGCGCAGGGCATTGTGGGCGTGGGCACCTGCCTATCTCAAAGAGCTGAGACAGACAGAGGTGCACTTCCTACTGCACTGTGACAGATATTCTGGGATGAGAGAAACATTCTTCCCTAAACTCAGAAATCTAGTGCCAGAGTTCCCACACCTGCCAGAATCACAACGGGTCCCAATCCTACTGGGAGAGGGAGAAGGGCAGTCTGCAGTCTGAACACGGAATCATTTAAATCCATGGCCACTGACCCTCGTCCTGGAGAGCCACAGTACAGCAGTTTTTTGTACATCTGCCTCATATATAATAAATGTCTAAAGTGCACAGATACTTTAATGGAATAATTAAAAAACAGTGTAATCTCAGGGTCTTAAGTCATTAAGAGCCATGTAGAAAAATGACTTAATTGAACAAATGACTTGCTCTTAAATGATAAATAACAGCTGCATTATCCCAGCAGTGCGAAACAAGTGATTCAGGGTGACCTGTAAACTGTACTGTATTGGCGGCCAGGCGTAGAAACCCTGTTGGTTGAAACAAGTTGGCAGTCTGTATTCACTCCCCTGTGCAGCAGTGTGAGTGAAATATGATGAACAAAGTAGGGGAGAACCAGAAATCTCAACACAGTAATCATGAGAGGGGTCATTCATCTCTGTGGATGTTCCCTGCTTGTTGTACTGTGGCTCCGGAAAGTGTTGTGCTTGCACAGGTTCAAACCTGGAGGGGAATTAAGACCCAGAAGTTCCTTTTTTTTTTTAAATGTAACTTACTACAAAACTGTTCACAAAATAATCTGAAAAGAATGTTTCTTTGAGCTTGCAAACTCTAAAGGCTGTAGGGAAGAAGATTTCACCCATGCCTCAGCTGCCAGAACAGTAACAATTACAATATAAGATAAGAGCATATACAATCTTAGGAATTTTTCTTTTTGCATTACCCCAACTTGCTCTCCATGAGACACACAGACAGGGAGAGAAGCTGGTGGTCAGAGCGCAGGGTCAGCCTGTTATACGGCACCCCTGGAGCAGTTGGGGTGAAGGGCCTTGCTCAGGGGCCCAGCCAAAGGCGCAAATCCTTACGTTATTATAAGGAATTACCCAGCAGGTAGATTCTCAACACTTTGTCTCTCTCAACGGAAAGCCAGACCCTAGCACTTCGGGTCCAGAGAGCTGGTGCTGGCCCACAGCGCCAGGGCACTTCCAGACCAGCGCCAGGCCCTGTGGTCCCATGGGGGCAGTGACACCTGCCTCCTCCGGCTGACAGACTGTGCCAGTGCAGCTGTACTCAGTGCTGAAAAGAGAAACAGTGGACTGAATAGAGAAAAAGCAACGGAGACCTTTCTGGGTTTTAATTCTAGGCCTTCTGTGTGGAGTTTGCATGTTCTCCCTGTATCCACGTTGGTTTTCTCGGGGTGCTTTGATTTTTTTCCAACCTTACAAGGAAAGCTGGCTAAGTTAATGAATCCCCCGTGTGTCTGCACAATGGACTGGCCTTCTGACCGGGGTGAAGTCTCATCTCGCGCCCTGTGACCCCAGGACGGGCTCCAAGTTCCCCCGACACTTCAGGAACGGGACCCTGTCCGAGAACGGGAAAACATCTGGATGAGCACTGGAGACAGACTGCGATCTGGCGCCATCTCGCGGGGGTCCAGCGTAGACGCCACCGCTGCTCTGGAAATGCAATAGCTGCGCTTCACCGTGGGCGAGAGGCGGCGAGGTGGGGGTGGGGGTGGGGACGAAGATGTCGAATATCGTCCTTCCTACAGTACGTTCAAATCAAAAGCGTTCATTTTGTGGCTGCCACTAATGAAAAATAAACTATGCGTGGTCAAACAAACCAAGCCACGAGCTCAATTAAAAGCCTCAGCAATTTGCACTATAATTAACTGTTTCGTGGCTCTTAGCACTTAACGAAAAGCACATCAGAACAGACGGGGCGGCGCTTGGAAATTCGTCAGGACCACGATTTCTGTTTTTCCTTTTTTTCCCTGTGTGCTGATACTTCACTGAGGGGCTTGTTGGCGGCTGCGGGTGATTTGGCTTCACGGGCGGATCTTCGTACTTTTGGAAGAGGGGATCGCCGTCCCCCCCGAGTGTGCGCCGGGGATATCCAGTGATTTGCTCAGCATGTCGGTTTGGCTGGCGCCCTGCGCCAGGGTCCCCGCGCCAGTGCAGGCACATGCTGTTCCGCGGTGGGCTTCTCGATGATGTCACGCTTGGAGCCCGGCTGCGCGCGTTGACTCATCGCAGGACCACCACCAGCCAGCCCTCGGCGCGAGGGCTGGAAAAGCAGCCCGGCGTGGCGCGCGCGGCCCAGCTCACCCGCTGCGCCGCTCGAGCTCTCGGCTCGTTCGCACGTCATAAAATCTTAAATGCTTCTTAGTTGCCAGTTGATGCTTCTGAGCTGAAACAGCTCCGTGAAGTTGCCCCCCCCCTTGCAGACAGCACAAACGATGAAACCCACCTCATTCGTAAGTGCTAAGCTAGTGCCGGTTTGTGCCGTTGAAAGTAACTTCCCAGCTTCTTACTTTCCCGAGATATAGCGCCTTCTTTTTTGGGGTGTGGGACGTCACTCAGCCCCCCTACAGCGTCGTAGGGGAACCGGACCGGTCTCAATCGGTAGTGCTGCGTTTGTGCGAGATATAGCGCCTTGTTTTTCCGGTGATGACGTATTTTCAAGGGTCTTATGTGCAAGCATGAAGCGATGAGTTCACAGTCCTTTTATCTTTGTGTTTCCGGCCAGTCCTTGGTGTAGAACACAGCGTGAGGGCACACCTGCCCTCTGAAGACACAGGTGTGGGCGCCTGTGTTAGATCCTCAGGTGAAGTCGAGTCTTCTGCAGTCTGCAATGTAATGACCCACACACATTTCCTTGTCCTGCTCCATGAAGTTGCCCACCCGCCCGTCGAACAGCACAAACGACGAAACACACTGCAATCGTTAGTGCTGCGTTTGTGCCGGTTTGTGTCGCTGTAAGTAGCGTTTGTGCTGCTTTCGTTTCCGAGATATAGCGCCTTGGTTTTTCGGGTAATCACGTAACTATCCACAAGGAAATGTACAGGTACCAACAAACTCGATACTTGGACTCTTGACTGTGATGAAAACAATGGGGGAAATTTGTTTTCCGAGTCTGTCTGGTCGGGTGGGGTGGATGTTTCAATATATTTCAATATAGCGCCTTCTTTTCCTGGAAACTTCAAAGTCACGACCACCAGATCTTTCAGTTGTCATCTTTTGATCAGTTGACCCCAGACTTTGCAGCCTTTACGCGAATAAACAGTCTTACATTTAGGGAGGAGTTACTATGTTAGTTCATTGGGTTAGGTGTTTTCTTTTAATTTTTAACAATCGAAAATGTATTGCTTGTGTACTCCTTTCATTGGTGAAGCGACACCAGTTTCCAAATTACCGCTGGTAAAACACGAGAGCCCATATTCACATTTTTAGGTATTAGTTTCAAGATCGATATAATTTAACAATAAAAAAAACAAAATTGAAAGCACGAGCATAATAATATAATAATCATAGACTTTACATTTCTATTCATTTTTGAAGTACAAAGCACAAGGTGGTGTTTCCCCTACCTTAAATATACGATTAAAGTTGTTCAAATAGCATGTCTTAATTACAGCAATCAGCGGAGACAGTTATATTGCAAATAAAAAATGTATTTATTTCGAAGAGTGCGGGACATTGTGAATCAATAAAGACGTTAAAAAATAAGCCGATGTAGTTATTTTGCAAATAAGTAAAGCATTTTAAAAATAGATTCTCATTAACAGTAAACAAGCCGATCCACCTGGCGCTGCTGGCTTGAACAGCTCTCAGACCCGTGATTGGCTAAACCCCCGAACAGGTCGGGCCGCGATTGGGTGAAGAGTGAGAATCGACACTCTGATCGGGCAAAGCGCCACAACGGAAGTTCCGAGATGGTGATGGGTGTTCTTCTTGGTCCAAATACTGTAGCCCCGGTTAACCGTGTGTGCTGTAAGAGCACGCTGGATATACAGTAACACATCCATTTGTTTCCAATTACTAATCAATCTAAGAGAAGTCGCACCGAGGTCAAAACTGAATAGCAGGCAAAGAATGTCAAGAACGGCATCCACAGCGCGGTCAGGACTCCGATTGCATGTCAAGATAGGAGTGCACGCATCACGATCACATCGCGATACGCATTGCGACTGGCGCCATGGTCACGACATGAAGCCCGCATATCGCGATATGGCACGCCCCCGACATAACGCCCACCCCCCATGTTGCGACATGAAACCCATATATCGCGATATGACATACCCCAACAAAATGCACCTCCCTCATGTCCCGACGTGAAAGCCCCTATATCGCGATATGATATACCCCGGCAAAAATGCCCCGCCCCATGTCGCGACATAAAAGACCATATATCGCGATATGACGTACCCCGACAAAATGGCCCCGCCCTCATGTCACGACATGAAGCCCGCAAATCGGGTTTAATCGTTTGTGCTGTCTATAGGGGGTAGGGGCAACTTCACGGAGCTAACAGTCAGGCATGATTTTGCAACCGTTAACAGTTTGCTTCAGTGCAACCTGTTTCTTAAGACGAAAAAGCACAGTTTATCGTTGATGACCTCTCCCGCCCTCTTCATTCCCATTTCCTGCTGCTATCTTCAGGAAAGTGGTCTAGGATGCCGGTGGGCAAAGGGAAATGTCTACAAGAAATCCTTTGTTCCCTGTGCCGTCGGTACATTAGACTCAGCTAAGTGACTGCTTCCTGTACGGAGCTCTCGGATTATGTGTAATATGGGCAGACCAAGATGTGTGTATATTGTTGCATGTCTAACATTACTGTTTGTTTTTAACGTGTATTTATTTTTATGTTGTGTCATTTGTTTCTTGTATGGTGATGCCAAAGACCAATTTCCACCCTTTTGGACGGAAAAGAAGGTTATACCTTATCTTCATATA